GTGTTTGTAGAAAGCCTATTGGTCCATATTTCTTGATGCTTCTATATTGGAGCGGAGTCTTGAGGTGGGTAGAATATAGTTGTGCAATAATTGGCTGTTGATTGCTGGTGTTGACTTCTTGATGTGTAGTGCCTCGCAAACGTCAAGCCGCCTGCTATCGCTGTATCTATCGATGATTTCTGTGTTGTTTACTAGGATTTCTGTAAACAACACAGAAATCATTGATAGATACAGCGATAGCAGGCGGCTTGACGTTTGCGAGGCACTACACATCAAGAAGTCAACACCAGCAATCAACAGCCAATTATTGCACAACTATATTCTACCCACCTCAAGACTCCGCTCCAATATAGAAGCATCAAGAAATATGGACCAATAGGCTTTCTACAAACACTTCTATTCAATACCCATTGTTTCTGTTCTGTCTTGTGTTGATACTTTTAATACCCTATTAATATCCCCTCCTGTTCTGTCTTGTGTTAATGCCACATCACCCTTACCACCTCACTCAAATGTAGATATAAAATCAGAGATACGTTCTAATCAGTTGTGTATTTGTGAAGTCTTTGAAAATGTAATAAGTTTTACGAAACGCGCCCGTGTCGCGTCAGACTAGAAATAAAAATGAATTTTGGAGAAGTGATTTTTGATTTACCTCCAACAGTGAAGCGTAATGTACGAAAGATTGAGAAAATTCGTGTTAGAATTATTAATCTTACTTTTTCGGTCATATTTAATAAAATAAATAAATAAATAAATAAATATATATATATATATATATATATATATATATATATATATATATATATATATATATATATAAATAAATAAATATATATATATATATATATATATATATATATATATATATATATATATATATATAAATATATATAAATATATATATATATATATATATATATATATATATATATATATATATATAAATATATATAAATATATATAAATATATATAAATATATCTAAATATATATAAATATATATAAATATATATAAATATATATAAATATATATAAATATATATAAATATATATATATATATATATATATATATATATATATATATATATATATATATATTTATATATATTTATATATATTTATATATATATATATATATATATATATATATATATATATATTTATATATATTTATATATATATATATATATATATATATATATATATATATATATATGCGAACAAGCCTGAATGGTCCCCAGGACAATATGCAACTGAAAACTCACACCCCAGAAGTGACTCGAACCCATACTCCCAGGAGCAACGCAACTGGTATATACGAGACGCCTTAATCCACTTCACCATCACGACCGGACATAATGAGGTGATAGCCGAGGCTATTTGAATCACCCCACCGCCGGCACTCGGATAGTAATCTTGGGCATAGCATTTTACCAAATCACCTCATTCTTTGATACACACACCCCATATACATGTGTGTGTGTGTATGTTTTGTACTCACTGCATTTAACCACTTAATTTAAGAAGCACATTTTTAGGGGGAAGACTAGTATTCATATTGGCAAATAAATTTTGAAACAACAAATACAAAATACACACAATGGTGCTAAATTATTAGGTGCAAGTTTTTTGGAGTGCATGTGACTACCACTACAGGTACAGTGTGCATTTACAGTGCAGCCTTCTCAGCAGTGAAGACAAATGTTATCATAATAATAGTAAACAGTAAAAGGGTACATGATTAGTGTCTTTCAAACTCTGAAATCTGAAAGCCACTACTTCACTTTCACATTCTTACTGGCAAATGTGGTGGTCACAACTAGAACTCAACAAGGGCAGTGCTTATTATTCCTTCAGTATCTCAGTGGCAAAAAGGGAGATATCTTAATGCAATAAGAATTATAGTTAATAATGGGAATTCAAGTACAGTAATATGATGATTAAATTGTTATATATACAAGAAAAAATATATGTGTATTCAAAATAGAGGTAATAATTACTTAAAAGACACTTGTGAAAGGTCAATTTACTTTAAGTTAATTAGCCACATTTGTGATCAAAAGGAACCATTAAATCATATGCATATCCCAATATGATCTCAACAACAACACTGGAAGCAAGAACACATTGCTATGAAAAGAAAACTTTTACATAGCAATCATCTGGTGATGGTCAACATCTAACATGCATCAACATAGCTATACCCAAACAGTGCAACTGGCATTGGACGTTTGCCTTACCAAATCCTCTGCATCCGTCTGTGAATATGCAATTACAAAAACTATAAGATTTGAAGTGCATCTTATACTTATCTCTAAAACACATTATTAACACCTTCATTAATGATAGTTTCAGGATCCTAAGTTAAAAAGTTATTTTCTCAGCCAGCAAACTATTACACACATAAAATAAATCACTATACAGTAATTCCAATAAGAGCAACTGCTGAACTATTCAGATAACAGGATAATAGACATGTAAACAACCTAAATACCTTAATTATAAATCAGAAAGGGTTATCTAAATAAAGTTAAAAATTGCCTAAGTTATCACCAATTTTATAATTTGTAATTAAACTAGCTCAATAAAGTAAGGGATGTATCAATCCTCTGAAGACAATCCTCAGAAACATTTACTCTGCTTAACAAGTCTCATGTAATGTCTATAAATAAAATAAATACAGTACTGTACTGTATTTAATGTTTGTTCAAACTATTTTTATGCATTATATCCATAATAATATTTAAATGAATCTGCAGGGGTCCATTTAACATGTTACTCAAAATGATGATAGAATGTTTAGGTCAAATTTAATGAGAATTAGAGATTTGTTTCAATCACATTAGGGTGCTTGAGGAAGGTATTCCCAGTCTGGAATATTTCCAAATATGGACAGGGTGGTATTGTGAGTACAGAGGGGTGTAATAAATGATGCCAAAGGAAGTAGAGGGGAAATAATTAGTTTAGGAAACATAATGAGGCAGGCCAGTGCAGAGCAGCAAGTGCAGGCCAGTGCACTGCAGTGAGCACAGGCCGGTGTACATCAGCGAACAATGGCCGGTGCACTGCACCAAGTGCAGACTGGTACAGTGCAACGAGTGCAGGTTGGTACTCTAACTTTTTCACCATTTGTCCATGCACTCTTGTAGTTTGTCAAGGTCTGTCTGTGGCTCACTAAAGGTCCTCATTAGTTTTTACTCTCTGATTGTGGATCTATAAACACTGACATAATGGCACCCCTCTCAATTAGCCACTCACATAACCTAAGTAAGGAACAGTAACGGGTCCCAAAACAGAGGGGACCATACCTCCCTTTCTCCAGTCCGATATCTGCACTTTAGGTGTGACCTGCTTGTTTTGTCAGTTAGATACTTCCCTGCCAACCTCAGTTCCTTCCAGTTACCACATTGTATCTCCTATAAACTAATCTCTTGTGAGGTACTGTATCAAATGCTTTTAAGCAGTCTAGGAAGATAAAGTGTACCCAGCAGTCTTCTTTCTGTAAGTTACTTTTGTGACCCTGTTCTAGTACTTTTATTGAGTTCACCAGACATGACTTTCCCACTAAAACCGTATTGTCTTTCTGTTGTAAAGTTCATCTTCAGGTGTATCATCAATTTCTTCCTGATCATTTTCTCAGGCATGGAACATGTTAGTGATACTGTACTAGTCAAGTGTTTAATGTTTCCTGTCAATATAATGAGGCATTTTCAAGATATATCACAGAAACTACATAACAGGTGTCAAAACCACTGAGGATACCTAATTATGGGTTTTTCTGTTATATTGTATACTCAAGTCTAAGTTATGTCTGAAGTCACTTGTATGAGGTGCTTCAGATTTAACAAAGAAATGTAAAGTAGAACAAAAAAAGGACAAAAGCACAAGCAACCTCTCAGAAAAACAAAAACTCAAATGATTTTGTTTATTTCATCAGTAGAAAGGTGGCATGCAATAACTTCTTTTTGCCAGGCACATGTAACCTGTGCATATACTGTATATACATTAGGCTTGTACTGCTTCCCTTCAAGGTCGAACTACTGCCCCTCCCCAGGATGTAAACCCCACAACAGTTGCCTAAATCCCAGGTACCTATTTAATACTAGGTGAACAGAGGCATTCAAGTGAAAGTGATGTGCCCTACCACTGTCCTGCCTTGGACTCGAACCCAGGATCGCCAATTGCAAGTCGAGAACAAAGCCAACTGAACAACGAGACATGACTTTGGACCAGAGTGTACAGATGGTTTCCATCTGAACAACACCAAGAAGTTTGGAAAAATAAAATTTATCACTAACATTTACAAACAGGAATGTCCCCCTAAAAACATGAAAGAAAATAGAGCTGGTTAGAAATTTAGTCAAGGATGCATGAAAACTTTTCTTGCATTAACTCTTAAAAAGAAAGTTTACAAGAGGAACAAAGAATAAAAAGTTAATTTTTTTGGCCAACTACAGTATACATTTAAAACCATTAATTTAGGCAGACAATATAAGAGCTCTTCACTTAATCTATCAAGCTACATGAAAGTACTATACCACTTATCAATGTCAACAACCTTTTCATAGTAGAGAAGATGAGACAATTCTTTGTAACTTGACAAATACCCATATAAAGTCCTGAACACACTGTGTTGGGTAACTCGCCACTGCCCCCTTCATACATTTATTAAGGATGGGAACTCTAAAAGCTATTCACAGCATGATGGCCTAACTTTGCCTTCACAAAAATTCAAAGACATAACTAAGGTTACCTGTGCTAGACAGGAAAAATATACTAGTTATTTATTATAAAAAGTTGCCTTTTTAAAGCAACTTTGTACATATAAAATGGCTTAACACTAAATAAATCTGCCTTACCCTCATAACAATTTAAAGGATGCTTTCTATGTTCAGGTAGAAAACTTTATTGCACTGATAATTTTAAAATATATTTTAAGTTTTTACCTTTCAATTAATCAGTAAATAGTGTCTACCAAAAGTGTTCCATTTGCTTACATTTAGGTTATGATAGTCTCCCGTTTCATCTGGGGGTCGAGGTTTGCACTTTCCACAGCAGAAGTTGCAGCAGCAACAGAAACAACAACAAAGGTAGCAGCCTGTGATCAGACCACAGAATAGGAACAGGGCCTGTGAAATACAAAATTTAATTTCATTACAAATCAATTTTAAAACAAAAGAGCAGCATCATGTCTCTCATACTTTCAGTATGATTAGCAAAAACAAAAACAAAAAATACATTTTCCTGAATGTGTTCAATATATTATCATATACTGTATTATCAGACAACAACAAAAACTTACCTTGCACCATCCTGAATTTACAAGGAAGTATGTATTAACATTTTCTTCGCCGAACTGCTCAGCAATATATAATCCAAGTGAACCATAATTATCGTAGATATTCCTTTTGGTAGGGTCACTGAGAATCCCATGGGCATGATTTACTTCTTTAAACTGAAAAAGAATATAAAAATAAACCCAAACCTATCTAAAAATCACAGCAAATATTACTGTGATTCTCAAGCGTATTTCATGATTTTGTTACAATGTATCGATCATAAAATATTTTTAGATGCAGTACTCTACAACAGTAACTCATTCATGCCCTCTATATAACCAATACATTTTTTTAACAGGAATATTTAAAATGGTATACATTTTAAATATTCCAAATACACTTTAAATATTTTAAATAATGTAATATTTTAAATATTACATAAATATGTAAATGTTAAAAATACACTTCTGTCAGTATTTACTTACTAGGGCAAAACATTTACGTGTTGTGAGAAGAGGGGAGTGTAACACTAGGTCACTAGACATAAGTTGGGCTTAGCAAGAACCTAATAACAACAGTCATGTCATCAATACACATTAACCACTAGGCTGCACCACATTATAATACGACACCCCTGTGGTACGCCCAAAAAAATTAATAAATTTTTAATTTTATCTTCTTAAACAGTGGAAACTTGATTTTCGAATGCCCCTCTTTTTGAATACAGTATTTCGGTTCTCAAGCTCAATTTACTCAGTACTCAAGGTTTGCCTCAGTGCTTGAGTTTGTCGATACACATATGGGCTGACCGAGCACGTGGCATGCCTCAAGTTTACCAGTGTCTCACGCCTAGTGACGACCATGCTTGAATTCTTTGTGAAGAATTTAATTGTTTTTGTGCTTTTTTGGTTTCTGAACATAAAAGTTCTTGTTATATATCATGTCATAGGTTCCAAGAAAGTCAGTGGTAAAGTTCAACCTAAGAAAATATTTGAGAGGATGACGATAGAGGAAAACAAGAGATAATTCACAGTGAGACAATGTGATGTCTCGCAACAGACATGTGTCAAAACGTAGGAAAAACAAGTGTCTGTAGACAGATTCTTAGTAAGACAAGCAAGCAGTGAGCCACAACTAGGTCCTAGTGGTACGCCTGCAAAACTTGAGAGAGAGATAGACAGAGTACCCCAGAAATGTCATCATTGCTGTTATAATGGAAGGAGATTTCTTTTCCAAACACTAACACCCCCCCCTCCCTTCCTCACCTTCTTCCTTATGTTAACAAGGATCCTTAATAAAGGCAAGATATACTTGTACATAGTGTAGTACACAATATAAGTAATATCTATAAAATGTATACAATGGGGCCTCGACTAAAGGGAGATATCTTATGAAGGATGGAGATATCCGGAGATATTTTATTAAGGTAGTGCTTACGATGCTAATCCGTTCCCAGAGACGGATCGTAAATCAAAATATCGTAAGCCGAAGCGATTTTTCCCATAAGAAATAAAGGGATTTGAAATTATCCATTCCCCACCCTCCAAAATATTAACATACAAATACATTATACTGAATACAATGTTTTTTCTAACTACAATACAGTACCTAAGTTTATCTTACCTTTATGGAAGGCTCTTGATGGCATATGGAAGATGGTGATAAGGGGGGAGGAGGAGAGTTGTTACTGTTTGGAAGGGGGTTCCCCTTCCATTATCACATCAGGCAGTGATGTTTTCTCTGGGGTACTCTCTCTCCTACGTTTTGCCTGAATACCACTAGGACCGGGTTGTGGTTCAGTGCTTGTTTGTCTCCTGCTTGATACCTGCTTGATGGGGTTCTGGGAGTTCTTCTAATCCCCCAAGCCCGGCCCGAGGCCAGGCTCGACTTGTGCGAGTTTGGTCCACCAGGCTGTTGCTTGGAGCGGCCCGCAGGGCCATGTACCCACCACAGCCCGGCTGATCCGGAATTTCTCTTAGAAAACAGTCCAGTTTTCTCTTGAAGATGTCCACGGTTGTTCCGGCAATATTTCTTATAGTCGCTGGGAGGACGTTGAACAACCGTGGACCTTTGATGTTTATACAGTGCTCTCTGATTGTACCTATGGCACCTCTGCTCTTCACTGGTTCAATCTTGCATTTTTTTACATATCGTTCACTCCAGTATGTTGTTATTTTACTGTGTAGATTTGGGACCTGGCCCTCCAGTATTTTCCAGGTGTATATTATTTGGTACCTCTCTCTCGTCTCTTTTCTAGAGAGTACATTTGGAGAGCTTTGAGACGATCCCAATAATTTAGGTGTTTTATCTCGTCTATGCGTGCCGTATATGTTCTCTGTATTCCCTCTATTTCAGCAATCTCTCCTGCTCTGAAAGGGAAAGCGAGTACTGAGCAGTACTTGAGACGGGACAACACAAGTGACTTGAAGAGTACAACCATTGTGATGGGATCCCTGGACTTGAAAGTTCTCGTAATCCATCCGATCATTTTTCTGGCCGACGCAATATTTGCTTGGTTATGCTCCCTAAACGTTAGATCGTCGGGCATCATTATTCCCAAATCCTTGACATGCTGTTTTTCTACTATGGGAAGATTCGATTGTGTTTTGCACCCTGTATTATGTTTCAGATCCTCATTTTTGCCGTACCTGAGTACCTGAAATTTATCACTGTTAAACATGTTATTTTCTGCTGCCCAATCAAAAACTTTGTTGACATCTGCTTGTAGTTTTTCAATGTCTTCAGCAGAGGTAATTTTCATGCTGATTTTTGTGTCATCTGCAAAGGACGATACGAAGCTGTGACGTGTATTTTTGTCTATACCTGTATCAGATATGAGAATAAGGAACAGTAGTGGTGCAAGGACTGTACCTTGAGGTACAGAGCTTTTAACATTGCTTGGACTGAATGGTTGCAAAGTCTACATTTATTTTTTCCCAGTCGATCCTCTTATTGTTGAAATTCAATTGATTGAATATTCCTTCTCGCTTGTTGGGTCTCTTAGACTTACTACCGTTATTTATGCTAGTTCGCACTTCAATGAGCTTATGGTCTGAGTATGAAGTATCTGAGTTTGTGATGTCTCTGATTAGTTCATTGTTTGTGAGTAACAAGTCTAGTGTGTTTTCGTTCCTAGTTGGTTCTGTAATCTGTTGATTGAGCGAGAATTTGTCACAGAATCTCAAAAAGTTCTCTGACATGTGGTTGGATATTTCCCGGGTCATTCCCTGCTATGATATTTGTGTTTGCCATTCTCCATCTTAGACTCGGTAAATTGAAATCTCCAAGGAAGCTAATATCTGGAGCTGGGTTTGCTAGGTTATCAAGTATGTTCTCTATTTTGTGCATCTGCTCTGTGAATTCCTCAGCCGTTGTATCTGGCGGTTTATATATTAGAATAATAATTAGGTTTAGTTTCTCTACCTTAATTCCAAGTGCCTCTACCACCTCATTAGTTGAGTTTAGTAGTTCTGTGCATACCAGGTCCTCTTTAATATACAGACCTACTACTCCATTTGACCTAGTTTTTCTATCACATCTACATAAATTATAATTTGGAATCCAGATCTCACCATCCATGTAATCTTTTGTATGAGTTTCCATGAATGCCCCAAATATTGAGTTTGACTTTAATAGGAGGCCATGTATGAACTTTACTTTATTTCTTGACTTTGGCTTTAAACCTTGAATGTTTGCAAGAAATTATGTCTCACTACAAATTTGTTAAGAGACATTTATTTTTCCCTTCGTTTTAACATTTGTCTGTAATGATGCATCACTTTAGCACCCATAATATCCTTTTTATTAGCCAGTATGGTGGATATCGTTGACCGAGATTTGTTGTACTGCCTAGCCAGTCCAACAACCCACACACCATCTTCATATTTACGAATGATCTCTTGTTTCTGCTCACACACTTTCCTGGGACTCATGACTCATGGTGTGATATATAATAATTACTTTAATGTTCAAAATGCAAAAAATCACCACAAAAGCGGAATTTCTTATAGGCGCGATCGTCACTAAGCGGGCAGCTGTAGTAAACTGAGGCAGGTCAGCCACGTGACCAGGAACCACGAGCTCGGTCGACCCGAACGTGTACCAACAAATATCGTAAGTCGACACCATCGGATGTCGAGTCGCATTTTTCGATGAAATTTACATCGTAACTCGAAATTATCATAAGTAGGGGCAATCATAAGTCGAGGTGCCACTGTATTTAAGTTAATATTTTTGGGGTTGTGGAACAGATTAATTCAATTTACACTATTACACACAGAAATCACAATAGCGTGATGCATCAAATGAACAAATCCACAAGGGCCGTGATGAGGGTTTGAACCTACGTCCGAGAGGAGGATCCCAGACGCTGCCTTAATCGACTGAGTTACGACACGGTTAAAAGAATTGCAACTGGGAAATTATCCTGATTTACAAATGGTTCCTGCAGTGTCTCCGAGACACAAACCAGGGTTTTACGCAATTCCCCCATGCACCCGAGCTATGTCAATAGGCTGTTCTACAACTTCGCCCTTACTGTACTTCATGAAGTACTTCATGTGTGATGAACGACGCGAGAGCTTCGTTTGGATTTCCGACCAGACGTCTTCGGCTACGAAAATGGAGGTTGGCCCCGAATCTGGCACCACTGACCCACCACGACCGAAGGAACCCTGAACCCTGGCACGACCCTTCTGGGCAGTACCTCCCCCCCCCCCCTCTACAGAAAGTATATGGAAGTGTAATGACAATGTGCTAATGTGGTGTTAATAAATCAAATATACCAATAAATATAAACACCAATAATAATAATAATAATAATAATAATAATAATAATAATAATAATAATAATGTGGTGGAAATTACCTATCAGTGACTACAGGGAGCAAGAGCTTTTTCTTCAGTATTTAGTCAGCAGTGATTACATATTCCCCCCCCCCCCCCCCCGTCCTTACCTACTTTCCCAAATTGGGGCATTTCATTCCATTTGACCATTCACTTTTTTTACTTTCCTCATTAGCTTTAAGTCATCTGCAAACATCAGCATGCATAACTCCCCCCTCCTTCTGTGACCCTTTTCTTGAATAATGGAATTTCATTTGAATTTATTTTTAGAATTCCATAAGTTCACCAACCTAGTGTTTTACTGAATATTCTAATTAGCAGATAGCAATAA